CCAACTTGAAGATTTTGCCAATATGCCTACCCAAATGTGTGCAAACTTTTGAGAATTTTCTGCAAATTGTCAGTGTCCACTGGGACACCAGAAAGAATCTTCTCTACTTTGAATTTTATCAAAACATCAAACGCCCAAGTAAGACTTAATAGACTTCATTCATCAATTTCGTCATCAATTCATAGTCATATCTATTGAAGAAATATTTCATGAAATTGTTGTCAAGCTGCCAAGAAATTAGTATAGTAACCAATAATCATGAATTGAATTGTTTTGAAATAATAAACCCTCCCCCCCCCCAATGTACGTCACTGATTGCATCACTGTATGAAAGTATTGGTCAGGGTCTTGAGCCTCAAGTTTAATGTGTTGCTTATTTTGCATCTGAGTATACTGGGTGTTAACTGATTCATTCAACAAGCCATGGTCTCCAGAGTTCTGAAGGAATGAGACTCAAATTTGACAAGGGTGTAGGATAAGAGAATTGGAAAATTTTGCAATATTTCATACTCTCCCACCACTGGAAATGACCCCAACTTTTGATTTTCAAATTGGACACCCTGTATTTTATTCCATAATCGGTTAGGGATCATAAGAAATTCAATGATACCTGGGTTGATAGGGTTATTTCAAAAGATTATGATAATTTCTTTTAGTTGTGGTTCCTGTGGTTCCTAGTCTGTCTTAGAAATTTCTATATATTACTGAATGCAGAAATCGACATCATTGTTGCATGTTTCTGCAAATCCTAACCTAACCTAAATTGTATTTTTCTACTGTTGTGTGATGAAAATTTCAATTTATGCATCAATTTGTTTGTGTTTGAGATACAGAATAGAGTAGAGGCTGAAGTGTTAAACTGTTTGAAATAATTATGGTGTTGTTTCAAAGTAAACTCTGGGCTTATTCAGGGCCGCCAAGATCATTAGATGACGTTAGGATGGCATTTAAAACTATGGGAAACCATGTCTAACTTTCAATCTATGCCAGGAGTTTGTATGTCTAATGACCTTGACGACCGTGAGTTGTATTTTGTGAGCAAATGCCAAAAACAAGCCCTTTTGGCAATATTTTGGAAATATATTATGAGTAACAAAATTGCAATTTGCTAAATCTGCCAATCAAAGAAAAAACGGTAAAAACCGTCCAATATGAAATATCATCTGTTGAAGAACCCTCCATCAACAATATCGTCAGACAATATATTCAAATTTGCTTTCTAAAGAAACAAAATTATGGGTTTTTCGGCTTCCCTTATAGGCTAATATGATAATCGGCCAATGAGGCAGATATAACTGATAGGCCATAATAAATATTGGTATGAGTGGATCCCTACAAAAAGTAACTGAAAATTCCATTGGAATACTTCATGGAATAGTAATAAATCTAATAGGCATGACTTCATAAAAACTCAAGGACCTGATGAGTGTACTCTGTATGAAAAAAAGAAAGATTCTATCTAGGGGGATAAATGTGTTCTGTCATTATTGAAATGAAATCTGAATTTTTATACAGAATATAGAATCAAGAAACTGTGGTTATAAATCAAAAATGCATGTTCTAATATCATAAGTCCTATCCCTAAATTGATACCTTTATCCCTAAATCTCCATTTTATTTTGGAAGTAATCACTATTGTTGGCTCACCCCTTGCATAATTTGTCAAATATGGATGTATCAGTTCAACTAAATATTTGAATGGCTCAGAACTCAGTGAAAATTCTAGTCATGTCCAGGGTTGGCACGAATTAATTCATATGAATTAATTCAGTGATTTAATTCATGAATTAATTCACATGACTTTTTTAAAAAAGTCATGAATTAATTCAAAATCACAAATCGCATTATCAACATTGATTCAAACTAGTTTTAACTGAAAAATCCGATAATATATTATGGCAACCTAGCCATCCGGCAACCGTGGAGTGCCCACAAAACAATACAATGCACCGCGTCCGCGCGTCGGGGTCGGGGAATAACCGAAAAACCGAAATCAAAGAGGGAAACCCACAAACCCAGAAAAACGGCATAACATTAGAACATTACATTGGCATTAATATCACGATAAATCTGTTATTTCAAGTATGACAGATATTGAGTGGTGGATGTCAATATTTTCACTAACAGATTTAGATCCTGCAGCGGAAAATAGCATCAAACAACTTATGACAGGAGTAGCTTCATCCGCAGGTGTGGAAAGAATATTTTCATCTTTCGGGTTGGTACATTCGGATCATTCGGATCTACGCAACCGACTAGGAGTCGAGAAAGCCGGAAAACTAACTTTTCTGATGAAGATTCTGAATAGGTAATAAGCTAATAAGTTGCATTTGTTTCTCAGATTGTTTTACAAAAAGTGCATGTTATGTTATGATTTGAGATTTCTTTTGTTAAGTAAATAAAATTTGATTTCTTTTCAAAGTGAATTAATTCAAAAAAGTCCGACTTATTTCAAAAAGTCTGACTTTTTTGACTTTTTTATAAAAGTCATGACTTATTCCAACCCTGGCATGTCATATTCTCCAAATGATTAAAATAGAATTACCCTACTCTCATAATAAATAGATAAAAAACAAATAATACTCAAGAATAACTCCTTATTCCATTTCATTCATCATCCATTTCTCAAGTTGGAAATCAGCATTTCTTCAAAACTTACATAAGTCTTAAATGGTTTATAACATAACCAATGATATTTCCATGTTCCATCTGTCATAAGTGATAAGCTTGGAATGTTAGAAGATGAATCTTCAGTCTTAAAGTTTTTCATGAAGTGGCTAAGGGAAGTGATAAAACCTTATTCTTTATGGAAGGAAATGTAAGGTAGGCTTCCATGTATGCAGATATAAGAATCATGAAACCAATGAGAATAATGATAATTATATTTATATTCATAACAACCCACTAATGGACCAGCTACCTATTCCATGAAGTTAGGAATTGCAGCTTCTTATATGAAGCATTATGCCAGCATTAAGGCAAACATAACTGTCTAGCCTAGGCAATTTTTATTCCTAGTAATGCCTCAATTAACACTATACTATTGTATATACAAGGACCTCCAAGAGTTAATCAACAGGTAATTTTGATACATTTATCACATATCTGATCTCTCTATCTATAGTGTTCTCATGAATAACTGAAAAAAATAACCATTATTCATAAAGAAACTTGTGACAGTTCATCAACTGTGTAGGAAATTGATAATAAAATTCCTACATAGTACATTTCTTTATGAAAAATGGTAATTATTTCAGATGTTCATGAGAAAACTAGAGGGAGCAGAAATATCTAACAGAATACAACTACTTTACTGGCTTATACTACAGAATATTGAATTATATTTGTCAACAAACTATTGAAAATATTCAATATGGAAAAAAAAGTCAAAAAGGTATGATAACTTTTGTTTAAATATACTTGGTGGCCTATCAGAAACATTCCACCTGAGCTTTCTCCCTTGTGATGCAAATATTAAAGACCACTGAGAGATATATTAGATTGATTTCTCAATATACCTACTCCAGGAGTGTGACTGAGAAATTTCTGCTGGCTACTGGTTGCATTTGATATCTGCATACCACTCATGCATCATGCTTACAAAATTCAGTTATATCCCTGTAGCAGTTTGTGAAAGCTTGGTATTATTGGATTTGTAATGATGATCATTAACCAATCATGGAATATAAAATAGAGGGTGTTCCATTTGGAGATCAAAAGTGAATGTCCCTTAGGTACTTTGGAATTTGATAATTACAGAAAAATGTGTCCCCCACTAAATCAATCTGTAGGAGCATTTTTTTATTAACTAAATCACAATGGAGAAAACTTGGATGGAACATTTTCAATGGGTCACTCAGTATAACAGAGAACAACTAGTCTCCTGATAAGATTAATAATTAATGGAGGTATATCCCACAATCCAATATCACAATATAAACAAACCACTTTGATATGGACTCAAAATTCCTTTTTTTTATGATTTCCCCTGATTAAAAGAAATGCATGTAAGGCATATTGTATAAAAACAGTATTCAGTGATAGAAAGAAGCACATATCACATTTATTCACATGATTGTTTAACCTAAAAGGTGCATAAAAATTGAGTGGCATTTTGAACATCTATGATGTAACTGGATCTGGATAATTTCAGGTATTTTATCAACTATTCATGATCCTGCTCCCAAAATAGGTAAGGCAACAAACATAAATCACAAATGCACATAATTGGCATGATGTCTGTTTCGCAAGATCAGACCTCCATAGGTCCCAAAAGTATTTAAAAATGGAAGTGTATACACTGCTGATCAGTAGGCAAACTATACTTTTTTTAGGTTGCTGAACTCTTTGTTGTGCTGGCCAATAGACTGCAGACCATAACTAAATTGAACTATTTTCAATAAACTAGCAATTTTAAGAAAGAAAAAAACATAATTTGAAATAAAAATAGGTACTCCAAAAAAATTTTGATACACTTACACAAACACACCTATTAATGGAACAAGAACCTGATCAAAAAAATCTCATCTAACAAGGGAGGAAGGAAAAACTAGATTAGAAAACTCACAAATTATAAAAAGAGTGATGTATACTCAGCCCAAACAGACTAACTAACTAACCAAAAATAACTAATCCATGTGGGATTTGAACATGGGACCACAGGATTGCCAAGCCCCATGTCTAACCACTGTCCTACTAACTGTCTTTGATCTTTTTGTTATACAAATAGAATGTATTCCACTGAATAGTCAGCAGTCTAGAGAAATAGTATAAACACTTTCTTCAAAAATTAAATTTTAGGATACTGAAATACTTTTCAAAATATTGAGAGGGCAATTTGAATAGTAAGAGTATTCAAGAATTCAAAAATTTTGAAACCAAGGCATAAACCATATTAAATGAATAAATTGTTTGCCCCTGGAAATGCACCCAAATATAAATTATGATAATTATACCCACTGTGGAAAAACTAAAATTTTATTTAGTTTGTCAATACTCACGTTGCCATCACCAGTGAGTCCTTTGATCTGCAAAGCCTCAGCAGTCTTGATGAAAGTTGTTAAATTTTCCTGGCTAACTTGAACTTCACCTTGATACATAAATTGCAATAAATCGCTTAAAGCTTCATAGCTCACATCTTTCATAAATACAATAGGATGTTTACAGGGGTTAGACTTGAAAAGTTCTTTGAAATAAGGACTACACACTGAAAGAACCATTTTGTGAGCTTTCAGGCATTTTCCCTGCACTGCAAGCGTTACATCTACTAAGTCTTCATTTTCTAACAAAGAATTCATGCCCGAACTCATGTTCTTGTGGAAATTATCCCAACACAGGGAGAATTGTTCCGACGCCATGGTCGGTTCTGAAAGATAAAAAAATACGTGTACTCTATAAGCTATTACAACCGACGCCACATCATGGCGGCATCAAGCGGTATATAAAGTTTAGTATTTACTACCAAGATACACAATAAAACGACAACTCACCTTGATTAAAACTTCCCTATCAACGAATAGTTTATAATTCACACACTTTGTATAAAAAATCCACAAATTTATTGTAAAATCACCACTTTTTCTCAGTCAATCAAAGGGAAGCTCCACCCCATCACAAACTACGCCAAAGAATGTAAAGGGAGGAAGTAGATGGCGTTGGTTAGCGTCCCGATCCCAAGCGGAAACGGTTATTATTACCAACATTGGAAATTAAATAAAATCAATAACTCAAAAGATTGTGCTTAAAATGACGGCCGTCGGTTCGGAATTACGAATCAGTGAGCAGTTTATAAGTGGAAATCAGCTTGACTGCTGCTTGGAAATCTCTACTCTTGTTCTAGTTTTCCAGTTTTCACTGTATATCTCTCTTAATCGATTCATTCTTTTTATATGTTCTGGTTCTCACGAAAAGGGATATCCTGTAATGTTCAGAGAACATCGTGAATCGTGAGAACCAATGAAAATAAGGTAGGAATAAGTGTTCTCAAATTTCTGGAGGTTATATGCCTCGGGAAACACCTGCCTTGGCAATGTGTTCCAGAGCCTCGCTATTCGTTGGATGAACGAGTCTTTGGAAAGAGATGTTCTGCAGGGCCCCAAAGTGAACACGAAGGGGTGCGAAGTCTCAACTCGACGGGTTAATCTCGCGGGGACTGCCAAGGGAGAAACAATTGTTGATATTGCAGAAGAGCATCGTCCATGAAAATATCCATAAAATAGATATACGGTGATCCAGAGAAGTGAGTGAGTTTGTGAGCGATGTCCTTTTTTGGGCAGAATCCAACATGAATTCAAATAATCTTAATGAGAATAGTCATTTTTGTGTCCAGTGCTCCTCTTCGAAAAAATCAGTTGGTTCTTGATGTCAAAATTATATGGCGCAGTAGTTGCAAACAACATTTCTTTCACAAACGTCAGAAAATATAGTTCAGAAGTAGTAATATGGTCAGCTTTTAATATGAAAAATAGGGTTGATCTGGCTTAACAGGCTTCAATTATTGTTAAACAATAAAATACATGATTTTGCGCATCGTGTTTTACTTCGCGCACTGCATCGCACATATGGTATTGTGGTAATGTAGGAACCTGAAAAAAGTGTTAGGTCAAACAAAAAAAATTGCAAAAAAAATCACAAATGTGACACAGTCTTATTGTAATTATTCATATATTTTTTATAGAAATGAAGAAAATCAATACCTTCTGCACTATATCAACAATTGGATAACCACATATACGGTTAGTTTGATTGGAAATGACCCTTCCTACCACCACACTTCTTTTGATCCTCTGACTTATAGGACACCCTGTTTAAAGTTTCTTTACGATACCTATATCTCATTTAGTATACTGCAGTTTATGTTAATCGTACAAGATTCCACGTGGTATCATGAAGCATAATAACCTCTAACAGACCATATATCTCCTCCGCATTTCAATAATTGCATGAATCAGATTAGACTATTCATATGTATGTTCCTACTTGGATGGTGAATAAGACTGGATGATCTAGCACTGTGGCCTGTGGCACATCCTTCGATCATACAGGGGTTTGTTGTCCGGAGGGCACATCACATTCTGCAAGGTAAAAATCACTAATGAAAATATAGTAATTGTAACCAGCTGAGATATATGATTTAGGTAGGAATCAAACAAGTCCAAGGCAATAAGAACCTCTTATTCTCAAATGCCGTGCGACACAGTGTCAAAGGCTTTGGCCAAGTATTATACCATTATCAAGGTTTTTTGGTATGTATTACAATACCCTTGTCTAAATCCATGTTGTACATATATATTGGTTATAGATACACATAATAGCAGTTTCAAGAGGGGATAAAGAGATATAATAATGACCAAGCATTTTGAGGGTGATTTTCATTCTAGTTCATTCCATTATATTCAGACGAATCTCAGGTATTTTACTGGCTAACTTGATATATATGAGTACCAATAGTGTATTTCATTTCTCAACAACTAATGAAATTATTCCACATTCCACATAAAAACAAGAATCGACTTCCACGATAGTAGTTTACTCAAATATACACACAATCCATAAAACCATATAATATCGTATATAATTGCGATGGATTGAACGCGGTATATGTCGTCATGATGCGTTCTTCCGCCGCTTCCGCGTTTCTCGTGTCATGAGATATCGCTGATATCAAAATTAATTTCAAAAATTCACACAGTTCTGAAGAGAAAACAATTTGCAACAGTGAACAAGTTTGGGTTTTCAATTTGAAATAATGGAATACAATTTTACACTGAAACAGGCTCATTGAAGGTAAATTCGAAGTGGGGAAGGAGACATGCAGAGGTGTTCATGAAGAAAACATGATTATTTATTTTATTTGCCAGAAATAAAATGCTAGGTTGCTTTGTAAGCCTGTGAAACATTTCCGTTTGCAGGGAGATGAAATTTCTGTGTCACTCTATAGATCAAGAACTCACTGGAATACACACACGGAATCTAAGAATGATTTGAAGAACATCATTATGGAAAATGATCCCCAAATAGATTTACTGAATTTGCCATAAAATGGTGAAACCTGTGGTATAATCAGTAGTCGTGTACCAAAAGGTTAAGTCACGTGCCTATAGGCCTAGGGATTTGCTATTAATGTTTTCTATGTTTTTCTTTCCATAACCGAGGTAACAAGCTGACCTCATTTGTACGTCATTATCACGTCAGGCATGACGTCAGGATGACTTCCAAAATGACGTCATAATGACGTTTATATGACCTCCTATGTCAAAGACGAATGACGTCATTTTCATGTCGTCAAAATGACGTCCTCCTAATGGCGTCAAAATGACGACATTCTTATGGCGTCAAGATGACGTAATCTTTACGATTATTTATATCACTGAAATCTCCTGCACATTTCAGTTTATTTTGTGCTATTTCGAAATTTTCTGTAGGTACAAAAACTACTGTTGTATTAGGGTTGTATCAATATTATCAGAAAAGATAAGATTTTTTTGTATATTTATATTGATGTTCCTTTACCAAATTGAATACAAAATAATATTATAGGTAGGTACTATAATCACCAGTTTCATGGAATGTTCTTTTTATTGGGAACTTATCCCATTCGGATGATGCACTCCTGCACAGATTTCTCAGAGCCCTATATGGTATTCTTTCAATGGCGGCCAATTCACATTCTGCTTTTTTTGGCGTATACCACTTGTCTTAAATAACCGCAACCGGCAACTGCTTGGCGCTTGGCCGCCAATTCGGCCGCTTGGCTTGGCGCTGCCGGCCGACGTTCGCATGTCTGCGCAAGGTCCGTGCCGACGAGGTGCCGACCAATCAAGTACAGTTTTCTACGCACTCTCCCGCTCTGGTTTGAATTCGCACTGCTGAATAACACCGTTATCAGATTTTTATGACGTGAAATTCGGTCTGATAATTTTAATAGCTATCGAAAGAATACTTTACACAGAAGGTATATAATCAACAATTATCTCAGAGAGCATCGAAAACACAAAGCTCGTACAGATTAGAGGAAATGTTACTATAAAGCATAATATAATGAGTGACATGATAATATATGTTATATAACATAACCACTAACGTTTTCATACAACGGAGATGGGAAACTTCTTGATTATGAATTTTCCTTGATGTAGATTACTCAATAAATAATGGTCATGATTAGTCCTGATAATGACCATCAGATGACGTCATATTGAAGGCATATCAAGGACGTCTACATAACGTCATATCAAGTACGTCAAAAGACCATAAATGACCATATATTGACGTACAAATGAGGTCAGCTTGTTACCTGGGAAGTCAGAATGAAATCGAAGGCAAAATTAACTATCGCTTATGTGCATTCAGTTTTTGTATCGATAAATTATCTTGCACACTCGTCATATCTAAAATAGTAGTTGTTTTCTTCCACGTGTAGTCCAGAAATGGTATAATATATGATTCATTCGGGATCGAACAATTACTGTCCTAAAACTGTCAGGAGTTTCCGCAGTAGAATCGGTCGTGTTCGAATTTTGTGGAACTTTTCTAGGACATACTCTTTACGCGTTCGGGTTTTTTTCAGAATCGTCCTGGGACGGTCCTAGAACTATCCGAAACCAGTGTAGTACCTGCTCTCGAGCGTGAACCGTTCTGGGATTATTTTTGGCGCATGCTCATTTCATTTATTTTTCGATTATGTCTGTTACGTATAACGTATATTTTTGTTTATTCCACATGTTCATTGCTCTTTTCAAAATTCTTTCAATATTATGGAGTTAGTACATTCATTCGATATTAGTATTTCTTCATCGTCAGGAAGCAGTGGTCGAGGCGTTCCTTGCTGAAGTTGCTGAAAATATTGTACCTACCTTATCCGATTATTCCCGAACTTTTGTTAGATAAACCGAAAAATTAAGAATTATGTTGAGGAGACTTCTATTATATTCATGTAGATACAAGGGACAACATGTTGAAAATCTAGCTACATTGCTTTTACGGAATATATAGTTACCATTCCTTCACAGATAGGATTTTCAGAGGTATTGTTAAATGACTCAAAGGAGAGTTTGAAGCTTCAGATTATCATTCCAATGGAGAGACAGGTTTCAAACCATAATTTTGTTTGCAAATTCTTAATTGAGGTTCTCTTCTGCCGCGTTCGGGTTTTCATAATTTGTGAACCGCTCTGAAACAATCCTAGGTTTCGAAACGACTGTGCACTTGTTCTGTGCAATTCTAGAACGATTCTTTAACAGTTCCGAAATCGGAACCCGAATGAACCTACTGATGAGTGGCTGTCGCTGTTATTGCAGTGGCTGCTGAGTAGGGAAAGAGTCTTGTGCAGTTCGCGGACAAATTCGAAAGTACGTTCCCCGAGGAGAACTAACCGACATACACTACACTCATTCATGTCAGTGAGTGCACTACGTGAACTTGATTTCAGTTCGTTAGTTAGTGAAAAGTGCAAAGGTGCAAACGGTGTCCGAGACGAGAGCCTAGAGTTTTTAAATCATTCACAAACCTCATTGTCAGATTGGTCACAGTGAATCACTTGATACCAATGAATTCTATAGGTACGTTAGTATCACAGAACTCATATAAGTAATATGAGTTCTGTGGTTAGTATAGAATTCATTGCTTGATACATCATAGACGCATGCGCATTCGCTCGTAGAGAACCCTCGGGGTCTCGG